GACCATGGTGGTGCATACCTGTAATACCAGTGACTCTGGAAGCTGAGGCAGGAGGATTTAAAGTTTGAGGCCAGCCTCAGCAACTTAGCAAGACCCTGTCTTAAAATTTTAAAATGAAGGATGGTAATGTGGTTCAGTGACTAAATGCCCCTGTGTTTAATCTCTTGTACCAAACACACACACATACAGAGAGAGAGAGAGAGAGAGAGAGAGAGAGAGAGAGAGAGAGAGAACGAATGCTGAGCTTTTAAAAAGCAGAAACATAGACATGTGTTTATTTATATATGATGTTCTGTAATTATAGAAATATTGTTAACAATAGCCTAAATAGGGTGGGCATTATAGTGCATACCTGTAATCCCACCTACTTGTGAGACTGAGGCAGGAGGATCTCAAGAACACTACTTAATGAGATCCTAAGTTTAAAAAAAATCTTTTTTAAAAAATTGGTGATATAGCTCAGAGGTAGAGCATCTGCTGAGCAAGCACAGGCTCTGTGTTCAATTGCTAGTACCACAAAAATGTATGTATTTGTCAGCACGGGCAGACAAGAAAACTGTGACCTCATCTCTACCATGGAACACTAGCAGTTCAGGTTGCAGCTGCCACTCTTCATCAGCCACCAATGCCTCTAGGGACAGAACTACGGATTCTTTTTCTTAAATGGTTACACTGGCTAGAACTTTCCAGAAGAGTGTGACTAATGGTGTTAATGCTGAGCATCTTTTTGTTGTTCCTGCCTTTAATGGCAAAATGTGTAACCGCTTTAGTTCAGCTTTACATATTGGTGCAGAGAATGTTAGGAAAGTTATCTTTAATTCATACATTACTAAGAGATTAGGGTTGTTTTTTAAATCATATTTGTATTTTTTAAATAAAAAATGAAATTTGAATTTCCTCGGGTGCTTTTTTGATAAGAATAATCATATGCTTTTAAAAAATAATAATGTATTAACAGAAGAGAGTAATTGGTTTCTAATATTTAACCTTTTTGTATTCATGGAGTAATTCTCTCATGGTGAGGAAAACACGATATAGCATACAGGTTATAAGCACAGTTCAATAATCTGACTGCCTAGGTTACAATGTATGCCTTGAAGTAACTCTGTCTGTTTAATACTCAGGATTTTCTTTGACAAAATCAAGAAGAAAATACTTACATGAGGGCTATGTGAGAATCATTTGAGATAATTCATGAAGACAGAAGTACACAACATATAGCAAATATACAGGCAATGTCAATCAGTATCTTTATGGTCCATTAATAAGTGTTGACTTGTATGTATGACTTTTGCAAGATATCTCTGGGTGAGTTTAGCTTGGGTTTTCTTTTTGGCTTATTGTTTTGTCAATTATCCAAATGTGCCAGAAAGCTTCTTCTATACTCAAGTCTTCTTTACTACTCAAGAAGGTTTTAAACATTTAAATTTTTATTCAATTAAGAAATGAAAATTCTCCATAAGCCATTACAGTCTTCAAGTTTAAATAGAGATTTCCAACAGCTTTTCCATTTCTTTAAAGGCTTTTATCTTTTCAAAGACGCCATTTAACTTAATTTTAATAACTGGAACATTCTTAGACTATCCTTTGTTATTTTACAGTAATAAGTTCACATTTTTTACAATATACTTGTAAATAATATTTCTTATCTTTTATCTCCTTAAAATATGTTGCTATCTTCTTTCCTATATTATTACATTGATTCTTGCTATTCTTCACCTTCTGCCAAATTAGTCACAAGTTCATTCCCATGATTCATATGGATGTTTTAGACATTTATCCATACAGCATCTCAGTAGTTTTACTCTGTAATTTATTAATTACCATTTTTATTTTATACTCTTCTTCTTAGTTTTTTTTTCTTTTTTTAGGTCAAAATGTAGTTTATTTTGTTCTTTTTTTAAAATTTTATTTATTTATTTATTTTAATTAGGTATATATGACAGCAGAATGCATTTTGATGCATTGTACACAATTGCAGCACAACTCTTCATTTCTCTGGTTGTTTATGATGTAGTGTTGCACCATATGTGCAGTCATACATGTACCTAAGGTAATGATATAGATCTCATTCTGCCATCTTTCCTGCCCCCATGTCCCTCCCCACCTCTCACTCCCCTTTTCCCACAGTTTCTCCATTTTTCCCACCCACCATAATGGATCAGCATCCACTTATCAGAGAGAACATTCAGCCTTTGATATTTGGGATTGGCTTATTTCTCTTAGTGTGATATTCTCCAACTCCATCCATTTACCTGCAAGCTGAGTAATATTCCATTGTGTATATATACTACAGTTTCTTTATCTGTTCATCCATTTAAGGGCATCTAGGTTGCTTCCATGGCTTATTGTGAATTGAACTGCTATAAACATTGATGTGGCTGCATTACTATAGTATGCTGATTTTATATCTTTGGATATAGACCAAGTAGTGGGATAGCTGGGTCAAATGGTGGTTTCATTCCAAGTTCCAAAGGAATCTCCATACTACTTTCCAGATTGGTTGCACCAATTTGCAGTCCCACCAGCAATGTATGAGTATGCCTTCCCCTCCATATCCTCACCAGCACTTATTGTTGTTTTTATTCTTTTTTATTAATTTATTTTTTATTTACATATGACAGCAGAATGCATATAATTCTTATTACACATATATACCACAATTTTTTATATCTCTTGTGGTATACAAAGTATACTCATACCAATTCGTGTCTTCACACATGTACTTTGGATAATAATGTCCATCACATTCCACATCATTTCTAGCCCCTTGCCCCTCTCTTCCCCTCTCACCCATCTGCCTTATCTAGAGTTTGTTTATTTCTCCCATGCTTCCCCTCCCTACCCAAGGATGAATCAGCCTCCTTATATCAGAGAAAACATTCGGCATTTGGTTTTTTGGGATTGGCTAACTTCTCTTAGCACTATCTTCTCCAACACAATCCATTTACCTGCAAATGCCATGATTTTATTCTCTTTTATTGCTGAGTATAAATTGTGTATAAAGGCCACATTTTTTAATCCATTCATCTATTGAAGGGCCACATTTTTTTAATACATTCATCTATTGAAGGTTGATTCCACAGTTTAGCTATTACGAATTGTGCTGCTATAAACATTGATGTGGTTGTGTCCTGTAGTATGCTATTCTTAAGTCCTTTGGGTATAGACCAGGGAGAGGGATGGCTGGGTCAAATGGTGATTCCATTCCCAATTTTCCAAGAAATCTCCATACTGCTTTCCACATTGACTGCACCAATTTGCAGTCCTACCAGCAGTGTATGAGTGTGCCTTTTCCCCCACATCCTCGCCAACATTTATTGTTGCTTGTATTCTTAATAGCTGCCATTCTGACTGAAGTGGGATGAAATCTTAGAATGGTTTTGATTTGCATTTCTCTAATTGCTAGAGATGTTGAACATTTTTTCATATATTTGTTGATCAAATGTATATCTTCTTCTGAGAAGTGTCTGTTCAGCTCCTTAGTCCATTTTTTATTGATTGGGTTATTTGTTTTTCTGGTGTTAAGTTTTTTGAGTTCTTTATATATCTTGGAGATTAGTGCTCTATCTGATGTGCCTGTGGCAAAACTTTGCTCCCAAAATGTAGGCTCTCTCTTCACCTCATTGATTGTTTCTTTTTCTGAGAATCTTTTTAGTTTAAGTCCATCCCATTAATTAATTTTTTAATTTTATTTCTTATATTTTAGGAGTCTGGCTAAAGAAGTTGGAGCCTAATCTTACCTGATGAAGATTTGGGTCTACTTTTTTCTCCATTAGGCGCAGGGCCTCTGGTCTAATTCCTAGGTCCTTGATCCACTCTAAGTTGAGTTAGAATAGACAAAGCAATCCTTTAGCAAGAAGAGTGAAGCAGGAGTTATCATAATACCGGACCTTAAACTATACTACAAAGCTATAGTAACAAAAACAGCATGGTATTGACACCAAAATAGATATATAGAACAATGGTACAGAATAGAAGACACAGAGACAAATCCACATAAATATACTTATTTCATACTAGACAAAGGTGCCAAAAACATACATTGGAGAAAAGACAGCCTTTTTAACAAATTGTGCTGGGAGAATTGGAAATCCATATGCAGCAAAATGAAACTAAACCTGTATCTCTCACCATGCACAAAACTCAACTCCTCTTAATTTCTTTTGATTATTTAAAAGTCATTTTGTTCCATAATTCCATGCTTAGAGTATTTATTTTCCTTCTGTTTATTTTAAATCGAGGAATTTTTGTCTAAGGACTACGTGTTTTCTCCTGAGGATAGTTTGATCACATCTCACATTTTATATAAACTGTTTTGATGTTCTTCCTGTACTTTATAGTTTTAATTTCTTCTTTAACAGAAGAATTATTTTTTAAAAAATGTACCCAGTATTTAATTTTAAATACTTATACTTTGTTTATCTTTGTAAAATCAATTTTCAATTTTGTTATATGAATGTCAGAAAATGTAATCTGTATGGTACTTTCCCATCTCCTTCTACCTGCTTGATCATTTCAGCAAAAAACCTGAAGAAAGTAGGAATCAAACATAATAACCTAGAGAAAACTCCACTGGTCTTAAAAATTCTCTTTTCTTTCTTGTTTTAAACAAGCTTAGTACTTAACATAACATATAAACTATTACATGCTCTCCTTTATCTGTTTATTGATGATAGGATAGTATCAATATATGTCTTAATGCTCAACCTAGATTAAAATTTGTCTCAACTCAAAATGCCTATTTTTATACACTAACTTTTTTTTTTTACTTTTATGTAGGAGGCTTGTTTTGATACTATTGTGACAGTATTATTGAGTTATTACTTTTTTGAATTTTTTTGAGTTATTACTTTTAAATAATATAATTAATTAATGTATTCATCAGATTTCATTTGAGGCAATTTGGATTTATTTTTAATATTTAAAGTTCTTCTATGTTTAAATTCCACTTTTAAGACTGTGTCTCTTAAAATCATAACAATTTGTTATTTTTTCAGAATATGGTTGGAGAGTGGGCTTTACCAGAAGAAATGGTTGATAATTTACCACCCTCCAACAATTGCATATTGGGTCATGTGCTTCACAGATTAGTAGAAAAATCTCTTCCTCCTCAAGTGGAACCAAAAGAGACTGAGTTACCTTCATTTGCTATTAAAGGATGTTTGTTGGGGAAAACACTTAGTGGGAAATCTGCCAATCTAAAGTCTCTACAGAAAGGTAGAATGCTTCCCCCGCCCCCAATTCTTACTGGGTTCCATTTGCACTGAGTGTAGTTGCAAATATCCATGTCTATAGAAAACATATATGAAGCTCTGCTAATACATTGGAAAATCTGTCATCACAAGTTTTATAAGAGTGTGATCAGTTAATTCATTATTCAGGCCATAGTTATTCACTTGAAGATGATTGAAGTACTGACAACATGCTAAAACATAGATAAATTTTTACATTATGCTAAGTAAAATAGGCTAGACACAAAAGGTCACTTAAAGTATGCTTCCATTTACATGAAATATCCAGAATAGTAAAATCTATAGAGACAGAAACTGAATTAGTAGTTGCCAGTGGGTATGGGTTTCCTTTTGAGGTGATGAAAATTTTCTATAACAAGATAATTATGATGGTTGGGCAACTTTATGAATGTCTAATGCCACTGAGTTGTATCCTATAAAATGCTTAATTTTATGTTATGTGAATTTGCCACAATAAAAGAGGAGTTTAATCAAAAAGACAATTCTAAGGAGCCTAAAGACAGTGTGAAGCTAGATCACAAGGGCAATAATATCCATTTCCCAAGTGAAAAGCTCTTAATAAAATTATCTTTTGTACTTTAGACTTTCCTATTCAGGTACTTTCTATTGACAAACTTGTCCAAGAAGCTATCCAAGCATTTTATGACAATGAAGAAGCCTTGGAGGCCCCACCAATTCAGGAAGAAGATGGAGAAGAGGCTCCACCCACACCACAGAAAGACAGTATAGAAAACCAGGCAAGTGTGATGTTAGTTTTCTTTTCTGCACCTAGTGCACTAGAGCTATGAAGCTGAATGGAATTCTAAAGATCTTGTAGACCAGAGCTCTTCTCAGCAAAGTTCCCAGAGAGAAAGTAGTCTAAGTTTGTGGGCAAAGAGACAAAATTGAGGATACTATGTGAGTATTTATAAAATGAAGGAGAGAACTCTTGCCCACCCCCTATACACACTGGTTTCCCTGGGTGGACCATCACCATGATGGGCTCACTTGGCACCCAGTGACTATAAGCTGGGTACTTTCCCCAGAGGAAGGAGTCACTGGCTGGCTGGAGAGACTGATTTGTGTGGATAATGAGGGTGATATATGAGTGTCAGAAGGAAACTCAAAAAGTCCCTAAATCCCAGACTAGTGTCCTACCACTCAGTGCCTAGCAGTTGTCAACATTATAGAGTCCCCAACACATAGAAGAAGACAGTGCTGGCCCTGGAAAATGCACAAGGCAGATACCTGAGCCCTATGGAGATGAGGTAGACAGAGACACTTAATGTGGTTTCTAGTTTCACAGTGCTAGGCTGTTTCAGTGTTGTCCAAGAACCATATTAAATGTTAGCTGGATTAATTGGTCCACAGCCATAGTATGCCAACTCATGACTAGTAGATCTCAGTTTCAGGTAGGGGTCAAGTGTGTTCTCCATGTGTTTTACATGTATCACATTCCCATTATTTGCTTGCATCATATTCTCATCACATTGCAATTCTTTACCTTATTGCATCAACATTCTTGGGAGTCGTAGAGAGAGAATAATGTGATCCCACTTTGAGAATCATTGATGTGGCCCAGTATCCTTATTTTGTAAAGGAGACTGTAGAGGCCCTAAACATGAACTCATTTGTTCAGGGTCAGAAGACGTGAGAATGCCTATTCTGTGACTGGGTTCTGGATTCTAAATCCCATACTCTTTCCTCTGTCTTATACTGTCTTTGCAATTGAATAAAGTAGCAAAGAATCCAATCAAGATCATTTGTATTGGCTGCAACATAAATAGCATTTTTACAAGAATTCTAAAAATAACTATGAGAAGTTTGCTTCATTGTGAGGCTATTTCTTCTTCAATTTTAATCAATATGGAAATGGATAATATACACTTTTATGTTTACTTTCCTATGAATTACTATGACTGACACCTCTAGGATTATTTTTTTAAGATGGTGGTTTTTCATAAATTCTACTTGTCCTTCTGGTTCCAGTTTATTTTCAAAAGAGTTGCTATATTTTACTTAAAATTGAATTCAAAAAACAGATCTTATCATAGGTTACTGTTTGTTTCTCAATGTGGCAATTATCATCAAATTTTGTTTGTTTCTAAAAATCATCATTTAGGAATGAAACTGAAATCCCCTTTAAAATATCATTAATGTTGTAGATAAAATACTATATTCTCAACCCTTTTTATAGAAATAAAATCAGGAAGATTATGAAAATATAACAATTAAATCTCTCCCCGTGTATATGTGTTTGTTTTCTTCTTAAAGGATCCACAAAATGTGCTTTCAACTGATTTAGTTTCAGGTGAAACAGTACCAGAAACAAAAGATGAAGCTGAACCTGGTAAGTAAGATATCAAGACACCCCACCCATCATTTATATTAGAGCCATAGACAAACAGTAAGAGCCCATATATGTAAGTACAAACGTGCTTTCAGGGAAAGAGACACAGGGAAATTTGCAACTTGTCCATGTGAAAGACCAAGGTAACCCTGATGTGCAACTGAGGATAAAGATGAAAAGAATTACACCACAATCCTTTTACTGTCCTTCAAATGGTTGCTCAGTTTTGTAGCTGTTATGCAAACAGCCAGCATATGTCATTTTCACCCTTCCTGGCATCTCAACCGTGTCTTCTCAGATCCGTGTGTGTGTTCTGTTGGGGTGTTCTGTGTGTGCTGCTTTGTACTGTATTCAGGGAGGCTGCCGATAGACAGTGGTTGCTTTAAAAAAAAAAAAAAAAAACTTAGATTATCCCTTCCCTTGGAATCATAGAACCAACTTCTCAATCCTAAAAAAAGTTAACCCTCCTGGGATCTGGACTTAAGTTCTTCAGATTCTTTATAGAACCATTGAAGGAAAACAACTTTATTCTTTTTTTCTGTTTGTGCTGGTGAATGCTTTCCATATTCAATAGTTTCCTTATATTCTAGCATAAAGCTTTGATCCTTCTGTGTTGTCATTATTACCGTCACCATTGAATACTGTTTGATTTACTATGAGCATGCAAATCCTCCACAGCAATTTATTTATTTCCTTGTAGTACTGGAACCCAGCAACTCTATAAAAACCAGGGCTTCACCTGAACTGGGCAAATGCTATACTTCTGATCTGCAGCCCCAGCTCATCTATTTTATTTAAGAGATCATTGTAATAGACTTTTTAAAACCTCTATAGGTAGTTTATGATATATTTTATTAAAAGTTCAATTAATCATAAACTCTAAAAATTTTTCCCATATAATTTAACTAAAACCCCCTTTAACTTCTATATTGTCTGTCCACGTTTATTACCTAAGGAAAGTGCAATAAATTAGCATTTTAACAAAGTTTTAAAATAAAGTTGGCTTGTTTTCTGAGAAGAGAACTCAAACTTTGTTAAAGTATTTCTAATGATATTGTTATGAGCTCAGATCATACAGGAAAGAAAGGAAGGAAGAGAAGGAAGGAGGGAGGAATCTTAAGTCCCAAGTTTTCAATTCTGCAAGTATTTCAATGAAATTGATACAGGTCCATTAAAATAGGTTGGGAATCATAATCTAGAACTGATATATCCTTATTATAATTTAGAAAAAAAATAGATTATCTACAGATAAGACACTGGGACAACATAGGATTTTTTACATATACAAATCATTCTATAAACAAGACACTGGGCAAATATTATGTCTGGGATGCTGGGACAAATGAATGTTAAATGGTGTACAATGAGAGCAAAAGCCTTGCTGTGTTTTTTCCATTACATCCTTCCTCTGTGTATCTCAGGCATAGCTGCCTCTGAAAATTCTTGTGTCCAAAACTATAGAGGGTCACTCAGATGGTTGTTAGATGTAAATACTAGAAGTTTTTTCTTAACTACTCTTCCTATTTTGCCAGATACAAATACTAATAAAACACCAAATGCTGAAGAGGTAAATTCAAGCAAAACTTTCTCAACAGTAAGTGTTAGAATCTAATTTTTTTCTACTAGTATATTAAAATGTGTCATAATTCATGGTCTTTTGGTGTATTTTCAAATGAAGTGAAATAGTAATGTTCTCCTCTTTGGTTTTAAGTTAAATCTGATGATAAGACATTAGCTAACTAGAGTTTACTTGATATTCTTTATAGTCTCAGTATTCTTTACATGAGCAGTGGAAATTCCTATTCAGTTTTGCCAGGTAATAAAGTATACATGTGCTCCTTTTTAAAAAAATTTTTAGTTTTATATTTTTAGTTGTTGATAGACCTTTACTTTATTTATTTACATATTTGTGGTGCTGAGAATTGAACCCAGTACCTCACACATGCCAGGCAAGTGCACCACCATTAAGCCACAGCCACAGCCACAGCCCCAACATGAGCTTCTGTAAATTTTAGTTTTATAACAAATTTATTTTGGGATATTTTCCTTTACCACTTAATTTATGGCTTAATTTCCTCTTGCACACTCTTTACTTTTAAGGGATTTTTCCAGAATTTATCCTTAGCTTTGCTGATAAGTCTAATTTTTTAAATTTATACTCCCAAAAATATTGACAATAATGCACTCAATATTGTTTCTAATGGAAGCTCATATTTTAATTAATGGATTACTTTTCTATGGAAGCTTTTTTGTCATCAAATAGAATGACCAGATTAATCCAGTGGGATTTCACTTATTTTATTTTTATCACTTGATTACTTTTATTATCAATTTCATCATAAAAAACAATATTAAAATATTTTAGATTTTAAAACTGATTAAAGATAGGAAAAAAATGGAAGGGTATACATCAATGTATAAATATGATAACTGATGGGGTGGTTAATGGGTTTAGAAAAAGCAATAAATGGGAGCCTTAAATTTTTCATCTGTGTATTCACAATAAGAATTAGCATAAAAGCTGAGTTTATTTATTTATTTATTTATTTTTTATTGTGGGTTGTTCAAAACATTACAAATTTCTTGACATATCATATTCCACACTTTGATTCAAGTGGGTTATGAACTCCCACCTTCACCCCATACACAGATTGCAGAATCACATCAGTTACACATCCATTGATTTACATATTGCCATACTAGTGTCTGTTGTGCTCCGCTGCCTTTCCCATCCTCCACCCTCCCCCCTCCCCACCTCTCCCCTCCCCTCCCCTCCTCTCTCTCTACCCCCTCCACTGTATAACCCTGAGGGTCTCCTTCCATTACCATGCAATTTCCCTTCTCTCTCCCTTTCCCTCCCACCTCTCATCCCTGTTAAATGTTAATCTTCTTCTCCTGCTCTTCGTCCCTACTCTGTTCTTAGTTACTCTCCTTATATCAAAGAAGACATTTGGCATTTGTTTTTTAGGGATTGGCTAGCTTCACTTAGCATAATCTGCTCTAATGCCATCCATTTCCCTGTAAATTCTATGATTTTGTCATTTTTTAATGCAGAGTAATACTCCATTGTGTATAAATGCCACATTTTTTTTATCCATTCATCTATTGAAGGGCATCTAGGTTGGTTCCACAGACTTGCTATTGTGAACTGTGCTGCTATGAACATCGATGTAGCAGTGTCCCTGTAGCATGCTCTTTTGAGGTCTTTGGGGAATAGACCAAGAAGGGGAATAGCTGGGTCAAATGGTGGCTCCATTCCCAGCTTTCCAAGAAATCTCCATACTGCTTTCCAAATTGGCTGCACCAATCTGCAGTCCCACCAGCAATGTACAAGTGTACCCTTTTCCCCACATCCTCGCCAGCACTTGTTGTTGTTTGACTTCATAATGGCTGCCAATCTTACTGGAGTGAGATGGTATCTTAGGGTGGTTTTGATTTGCATTTCTCTGACAGCTAGAGATGTTGAGCATTTTTTCATGTACTTGTTGATTGACTGTATGTCCTCTTCTGAGAAGTGTCTGTTCAGGTCCTTGGCCCATTTGTTGATTGGGTTGTTTGTTATCTTATTGTCTAATTTTTTGAGTTCTTTGTATACTCTGGATATTAGGGCTCTATCTGAAGTGTGAGGAGTAAAGATTTGTTCCCAGGGTGTAGGCTCCCTATTTACCTCTCTTATTGTTTCTTTTGCTGAGAAAAAACTTTTTAGTTTGAGTAAGTCCCATTTGTTGATTCTAGTTATTAACTTTTGTGCTATGGGTGTCCAATTGAGGAATTTGGAGCCCAACCCCAACGACTGTAGATCGTAGCCAACTTTTTCTTCTATCAGACGGCGTGTCTCTGATTTGATATCAAGCTCCTTGATCCATTTTGAATTCACTTTTGTGCATGGCGAGAGAAAGAGATTCAGTTTCATTTTGTTGCATATGGATTTCCAGTTTTCCCAGCACCATTTGTTGAAGATGCTATCCTTCCTCCATTGCATGCTTTTAGCCCCTTTATCAAATATAAGATAGCTGGAGTTTTGTGGATTGGTTTCTGTGTCCTCTATTCTGTACCATTGGTCCACCCGCCTGTTTTGGTACCAGTACCATGCTGTTTTTGTTACTATTGCTCTGTAGTATAGTTTGAAGTCTGGTATCGCTATACCGCCTGATTCACACTTCCTGCTTAGCATTGTTTTTGCTATTCTGGGTCTTTTATTTTTCCATATGAATTTCATGATTGCTTTCTCTATTTCTACAAGAAATGCCATTGGGATTTTGATTGGCATTGCATTAAACCTATAGAGAACTTTTGGTAATATCGCCATTTTGATGATGTTAGTTCTGCCTATCCATGAACGGGGTATATTTTTCCATCTTCTAAGATCTTCTATTTCTCTCTTTAGGGTTCTGTAGTTTTCATTGTATAAGTCTTTCACCTCTTTTGTTAGGTTGATTCCCAAGTATTTTATTTTTTTTGAAGATATTTTGAATGGAGTGGTTGTCCTCATTTCCATTTCAGAGGATTTGTCACTGATATACAGAAATGCCTTTGATTTATGCGTGTTGATTTTATATCCTGCCACTTTGCTGAATTCATTTATTAGCTCTAATAGTTTCTTTGTAGAGCCTTTTGGGTCTGCTAGGTATAGAATCATATCATCTGCAAATAGTGATAATTTAAGTTCTTCTTTTCCTATTTTGATGCCTTTAATTTCTTTCGTCTGTCTAATTGCTCTGGCCAGTGTTTCGAGAACTATGTTGAAGAGAAGTGGAGAGAGAGGGCATCCCTGTCTTGTTCCAGATTTTAGAGGGAATGCCTTCAGTTTTTCTCCATTCAGAATGATGCTAGCCTGAGGCTTAGCATAGATTGCTTTTACAATATTGAGGTATGTTCCTGTTATCCCTAGTTTTTCTAGAGTTTTGAACATAAAGGGATGCTGTACTTTGTCGAATGCTTTTTCCGCATCTATCGAGATGATCATATGGTTCTTATTTTTAAGTCTATTGATGTGGTGAATAACATTTATTGATTTCCGTATATTGAACCAGCCTTGCATCCCAGGGATGAATCCTACTTGATCATGGTGTACAATTTTTTTGATATGTTTTTGTATCCAATTCGCCAGAATTTTATTGAGGATTTTTGCATCTAGGTTCATTAGACATATTGGTCTGTAGTTTTATTTCATTGAAGTGTCTTTGTCTGGTTTAGGTATCAGGGTGATGTTGGCCTCGTAGAATGAATTTGGAAGTTCTCCCTCTTTTTCTATTTCCTGAAGTAGCTTGAAAAGTATTGGTATTAGTTCTTCTTTAAAGGTTTTGTAAAATTCTGCTGTATACCCATCCGGTCCTGGGCTTTTCTTAGTTGGTAGTCTTTTTATGGTTTCTTCTATTTCCTCAATTGATATTGGTCTGTTTAGGTTTTCTATATCCTCCTGACTCAATCTGGGCAGATCATATGACTTAAGAAATTTATCTATGCCTTTACTATCTTCTAATTTATTGGAGTATAAGGATTCAAAATAGTTTTTGATTATCTTCTGTATTTCTGAAGTGTCTGTTGTGATATTGCCTTTTTCATCCCGTATGCTAGTAATTTGAGTTCTCTCTCTTCTTCTCTTCGCTAGCATCGCTAAGGGTCTGTCGATTTTGTTTATTTTTTCAAAGAACCAACTTTCAGTTTTGTCAATTTTTTCAATTGTTTCTTTTGTTTCGATTTCATTAATTTCAGCTCTGATTTTAATTATTTCTTGCCTTCTACTTCTTTTGCTGTTGTTTTGCTCTTCTTTTTCTAGGATTTTGAGATGAAGTATGAGATCATTTATTTGTTGGTTTTTTCTTTTTTTAAGGAATGAACTCCAAGCAATGAATTTTCCTCTTAGAACTGCTTTCAATGTGTCCCATAGATTCTGATATGTTGTGTCTGTGTTTTCATTTATCTCTAAGAATTTTTTAATTTCCTCCTTGATGTCTTCTATAACCCATTGATCATTCAGTAACCTATTGTTCATTCTCCAAGTGATGTATGCTTTTTCCTTCCTTCTTTTATCGTTGATTTTCAGTTTCATTCCATTATGATCAGATAAGATGCATGGTATTATCTCTACTCCTTTATATTGTCTAAGAGTTGCCCTGTGACATAATATATGATCTATTTTTGAGAAGGATCCATGTGCTGCTGAGAAAAAAGTGTAACTGCTTGATGTTGGGTGGTATACTCTATATATGTCAATTAGGTCTAGGTTATTAATAGTGTTATTGAGTTCTATAGTTTCCTTATTCAACTTTTGTTTGGAAGATCTGTCCAGTGGCGAGAGAGGTGTGTTGAAGTCTCCCATGATTATGGTATGGTGGTTTATTAGACTCTTGAACTTGAGAAGAGTTTGTTTGACGAACATAGCTGCACCATTGTTTGGGGCATAAATATTTATGATTGTTATGTCTTGTTGGTGTATGGTTCCCTTAAGCAGTATGTAGTGTCCCTCTTTATCCCTTTTGATTAACTTTGGCTTGAAATCTATTTTATTTGATGTGAGTATGGACACTCCTGCTTGTTTCCGAAGTCCATATGAGTGATATGATTTTTCCCAACCTTTCACCTTCAGCCTATGTATGTCTTTTCCTATCAAATGTGTCTCCTGTAGGCAGCATATTGTTGGGTCTTGTTTTGTGATCCATTCTACTAGCCTGTGTCTCTTAATTGGTGAGTTTAAGCCATTAACATTTAGGGTTATTATTGAGATATGGGTTGTTCTTCCAGCCATATTTGTTTATTTATGTTACTAAACATGGTTTGTTTTCCTCTTTGATTATTTTCCCCCCCTTTACTGTCCTACCTCCCACTGTTGGTTTTCATTGTTATTTTCCATTTCCTCTTCCTGTAATGCTTTGGCATTACAGGATGTTTTGAAGAGATGGTTTTCTAGCTGCGAATTCTTTAAACTTTTGTTTATCGTGGAAGGTTTTAATTTCATCTTCCATCCTGAAGCTTAATTTCGCTGGATACACAATTCTTGGTTGGAACCCATTTTCTTTCAGTGTTTGAAATATGTTATTCCAGGATCTTCTAGCTTTCAGAGTCTGTGTTGAAAGATCAGCTGTTATCCTGATTGGCTTACCCCTAAATGTAATCTGCTTCCTTTCTCTTGTAGCTTTTAAAATTCTCTCCTTATTCTGTATGTTGGGCATCTTCATTATAATGTGTCTAGGTGTGGATCTCTTATGATTTTGCACATTCGGCGTCCTGTAGGCTTCTAGGATTTGGGATTCTGTCTCATTCTTCAAGTCTGGGAAGTTTTCTCGTATTATTTCATTGAATAGACTGCTCATTCCTTTGGTTTGGAGCTCTGTACCTTCCTGTATCCCAATGACTCTTAAGTTTGGTCTCTTAATGTTATCCCATATTTCTTGGATGTTCTGCTCATGGTTTCTTAACAGTCTCGCTGAGCTGTCTATGTTCTTTTCCAGTTGAAATACTTTGTCTTCATTGTCTGATGTTCTATCTTCTAAGTGTTCTACTCTGCTGGTAGTATTCTCCATTGAGTTTTTAAGTTGGTTTATTGCTTCCTGCATTTCTAGGATTTCTGTTTGTTTGTTGTTTTATAACCTCTATCTCCCTGTATAGTTGATCCTTTGCTTCCTGGATTTGTTTGCGTAATTCATTGTCGAAGTGATCTTTCATTGTCTGATTTTGCTGTCTAATGTCTTCCTTGATACTCCAGATCATCTGAAGCATGTATATCCTGAATTCTTTATCTGACATTCCATCTGCTGCAGCTGTTACCTCTTCTAAAGTTGTGTTGACCTGCATTGCTTGTGGTCCTTTCTTTCCTTGTCTTTTCATACTGCTTGCATATCTTTCCTGCAGGCGCGGGCGGCGGCTCTGCTCTCTCCTTATTCCAATTGGGGTGTCGTGGCTACCATGCCTGCAGTTCACTGGGCCTGTTCTGGGCGCTGGCGGTGGCTCTGTTCTGCCCCTACTCCAATTGGGGTGACGAGTGTACCACACCGGCAGGCCACCGGGCCTGATCCGCCGGTCGGTTGCAGGTTTGCCTACCCTGCAGGCACGGGCGGCGGCTCTACTCTGCCCCTACTCCAAATGGGGTGACGTGTCTGTCGTACCGGCAGGCCACTGAGCCTGTCCCGCTGGTCGGTCGCAGATCTGCCCACCTTTCGGGCACGGGTGGAGGCTCTGCTCTGCCCCTACTCCAATTGGGGTGTCGTGACTACCCCACCTGCAGGACGCTGGGCCTGTTCCTGGCACGGGCGGCGACTCTGCTCTGCCCCTACTCCAATTAGGGTGGTGTGTGTACCACGCCGGCAGGCTCCTGGGCCTGATCCGCCGGTCTGTCGCAGGTCTGCCTACCTTGGAGGCGCGGGCGGCGGATCTGCCCTGCCCCTCCTACCACGCCTTCGGACCCCTGGGCCTGATCTGCAGGTTGGTCACAGGTCTGCTCACCCTGCGGGCACGGGTGGCGGTTCCGCTCCGCCCCCACTCCAACTGGGGTCACGTGGCCATCACACCGGCAGGGCCTGATCCGGGCATGGGAGAAGGATCTGCTCTGCCCCTACTCCAGTTGGGGTGACGTGTGTACCACACTGGCAGGCCACTGGGCCTGACCCGCCAGGCTGTCACAGGTCTGTTTACCTTGCAAGCGCGAACGGTGTCTCTGCCCTGCCCCTCCTACCACGCCCATGTACCACTGGGTCGCGGGTCTGCCCACCTTGCGGGTGCGGGTGGCGGCTCCGCTCCGCCCCCTCTCCAATTGGGGTCACGCGGTCACCACGCTGGAGAGCCGCTGGGCCTGCTCCGGGCGCTGGCGGCGGCCCGGCTCCTCCCCTCTGGCTCGACGACAAATTGAGGAGACTCAGGTGTCTGTGCCTCACCCCCCCCTACCAGGAGACCAACTGTTTATGTCACCGCTGGTATTGATGAAGTTCTCTCCTCCGCCGCTTTCTGATGACATCAGATCTCTGCCATGTTGTTATCCTATGCGAATGGCAGCATTTCGTTCCCCTTGCCGGGCAACCAAAGCAACGGGTGAGTCCTGACCGGCCCTCAGCAGGACCCGGACCGAGAAGCAGTTTCCGCGGGCTCCTAGCCCCGGGCCAGGGAAGTTCCGGGAGTCGGAACTCGGCCGCTCGGTGCTCGGTGTAAGCTCCTATAAGAGTAGGCTCCAAGAAGCAATCCCCGCGGGCTCAGTTCCGGGAGCCGGAATTCGGCCTCTTAGTGCTTGGTGTATGCTCTGATAGGAGCAGGGTCCAAGAAGCAGCCTCCGCAGGCTCCGCAGCCCTGGGCCAGGGCGGTTCCGGGAGCCGGAACTCGGCCGCCCCGCGCTCGGTGTTCGCTCCAATAAGATCAGGTTCTAAGAAACACCCAGGCACTGAACCCTAGCAATCTGTCTGCAATCCGCAGGCGAATGGCAGCCTGAAATTACCTGTTCTATGGCTGAATGAGCTGCGGTCAGTCGAAAACAGGGATGGTGACGTCAGCTTTCCAACATGGTGGCTGCTGGCCTCCTCTGTGGTCTGACCGGTGTGGAGAACCGAGATGGACCGCTTCCTTCCCCCATCTCGAACCCAGAATTCAGCCCTGAGTACGGTGCTTGCACGGCTGGCAGAAACTGCAGCACTGTATCCCTGCGTCGCTATCTCCTCGTTTCACAGCGCGCGCTGCAGACTCTAGCTGCGGGGCAATTTGCTGAATAAGCAGTGTTACCCTCCGTGCAACAAACCTCTAGCGTTTGAGTCCCCGTAGCCGATCCTCGTGCAATGGAAATCCTTCCTCCAGGTTCCGGAGCACCCCACTATTGCTGGAAATTCCTAAAAAGATAGCCTTTAGCCGTCCTGACTTGTCATACTCCCACACAGTGAAGCAGCACACGGGGGCAATGCACTCCCCTCGCCGCCATCTTCCCTGAGTTTATTTTTATAATTACATTTATTTATTTACAAATACTCCAAAGTTCACGTTCAATTCAAAGAGCACACTTTTTTCTGCATACTCTTTTAAGTATCTGGGACATATCAGTGAACAAAAAAGACAGAGTCCCCTGCCCTTATGAAGTACACATTCTAATAGAAGGGGACAGAGAACTATAAGTCATAAATAAATCACAAATTATGAGTAAAGGGACTGTATATCATGTTAGATCACAGTAAGTGTCAAGAGGACACTAGGGTCAAATAGAGCAAGGGGGATCAGGAGCATGTACCATGGGGCAAGGGAATGAGGGAAGGTCATTACATTAAATTGGGAGTGTCTCCTTGATAAAAAGAATCCATCCAAGAAAATGTAAAGAGGTGAGAGAATCAGCCAGCTAGAGCTAGGGAAGGATTCCATGCACAATGAATTGTTGGGCACTGGACAACAGCCATTAGTTAGAAGGTGTCTGTCCATGAGGGCAAGAGAGTAGTTAGCGATGAAGTTAGAGAGATGAGTGAGAAGGCCCAAGAATCAGGCCAGTTGGGGACTTCCAGGGAATTATCATGCTATTTGGCATGAAAGGATGTTGAGAGAGATATAATATCATTTGATATAAAATACTGATTCTAGTGACTAAGTTAAGAATGGACTCTAGGGAAGTCCCTGTTTCAGGAATACCACTTAGCTTGTATTGAACTAACCCTCCTACAAATGGTAATTATATATGATGGACAAAAGAAAAAAGCTAATGATATTCAGACCAGAGGAAAACAGAAAAAATCAAAGCAGCCAGCAAGCAAGCAGCAAAATCCAGGCAGTGAAAGACAAGGACTTCACTAGGCAAGAGCTATGTAGATGCAGATTCCCCCAAGGGCACACCCCCTGTGCATGAAATGACTAGTGCTCACTCAGAGAGCTCTACCATTCTGATGGAAAGTATTGGAGGAGGATGTTCCGGATGCCAGAGCAGCTGAATACTAAAGAGGAATATGATAGAAGGAAGGGAGCCCCAAAAGAAGAGTCTCATATTCTATGTACAAATGTTCCTTAAATTCTTTCCTGACTCCAGAATTGTGTTAAATGCTCAGAGTCTTCCTCAGGGAGCATGACCATTTAAGTGCTTTCTCCTCCAAGCAATTTGAATCTGACTTTTAAATAAGCTGTATTTTTCCATCATCGATTCTTTTCACAGCTCTCTGTGCGAGCTCAGCTTGGTGCAAAATCAGAGCAGTTGTTGAAAAAAGGAAAGAGCATTCCGGACAAATTGCTAGTTAACATCATGGTAAATGCTATTAAGTATGTATTGCTTTCTTTTTCCTTTGTATCTATTTAACATTTTCTTTATTGAACAAATATATATATCAGTACTAATACAGTAATGTAGATTTTTTTTGCTTTTAATAACTAGTGATTTAAAATTTACAATAAGGTCAATTTACATAGGTTTGCATGCCTAGTTTCACTCCCTCCCCTCATCAACCTTGGCTTTTTTCACCTAAATGTAAAAACAGACCAGATTCTATTACCTTTGGGGAAATCAAGGAGACAGGATAATTGAAAAAGCTAAGGGACAAACTATGGAGAAAAGAGATCAGGTAACTGCACTTCCTCAATTTGTGTTTCAAGAAGAGAGGTTAGGAGTTGGGATCCAAAACTAGATAGTGCTAGGCAGGACAGCAGTGGGGGCACTGACCAGAAGAATATCCACACACTTCTGTGTGTGCAGAGATCCTATGTGGGAGAAGATAAAGAAAAAGAATGTCAAATTAGTTTGTCATTTTGGATTCTATATAATCCTTTTTAAGGAGGAATGCTTCTCTTTACCCTTCCTTGTTAAAACAGAAAAGAGAGAAATTAAAAGAAACCAGTGGAGCTCAGTTGATCCATATGATAAAGAAATAAGGCCAAGCAGCATGGGAAAAAAAAGAGTTCAGTAGGTTCCTGTGAATGTGTTAGAGAGCTTGGAGTAGGTGAGGAAATAGAATCAGTTCTCTGTGCCATGTGGGAAGCATCTGTATATGGGGTAAAAATGGAGTTCATAACCCACTTGAATCAAAGTGTGAAATATGATATATCAAGAACTATGTAATGTTTTGAACAACCAACAATAAAAAATTTTTAAAAAAAGACAAACAAGGAAGGAGATATTAAAGAAGGTTTACTATGTACCTGGAATAAACTCCTCCTTAGTGTTTTCTTAAAAGGCCACATTGAAGATTTAAGTTGCTTCAGATATGATACATTTATAAATAGGAACATAGGGCTGCTGTCAGGGCTGGAGGGGCCTCATTCTAATACTTGTAAGATTTCTTAGCTGGGTACAGTGGCACACAGACCTGTAATCCCAGCAACTTGGAAGGCTGAGGCAGAAGTGTTGCCAAGTTCAAAGCCACCCTCAGCAACTTAGCGAGGCCCTAAGCAACTTAGCAAGACACTGTCTCAAAATTAAAAGGCTGGGATGTGGTTCAGTAGTTAAGCACCCTGGGTTCAATCCCTGGTGCACCCCACCACCACCACCACACACACACACACACACACACACACACACACACAGAGATTTCTTAAAACTGGCATAATTTTACCCATGGAATTTTTTTTTCAACGAAAAAAAAATGGAATTGAAAGCACCAAACATAAAGCAGATCTTTGGCTTCAGTAGAGTTAGAGGACCTACACTACATTGCCATGACTCTGTTATCCTCCACCCCCACCACCATCCCAATGCCCAATGTCCCAGTAGTCCCTCTAGAGGATGGTCACTAGTTTGAAATCCTTTGAGCTAATACAAAGAGGAAAGGGACCAAGCTGTTCCAGTTAAACAGCTGGCTAGTGATGCAGCCTGAGCCAAAGCCCAGGTCTCCTGACTCCCTAGCATCTGATGTCCCCACTCCACAGCTGAAATGGTGTGGCCATGACCTCCTCCTCTCTCTGAGGAGACTCCTAAGACGGTGGGAACCCTGGCCCTCAAAAGGTACTCAAGGAAAATATCGTTTCTATCTTAGGCCAATGAATCAATAAATCCAATTAACGCAAAATGTTTTACCACACTCTGGAATAGTAACATGCAGTCTTTTCCTGCTCTTCATTACCTAATTTGGGAAACCAGATGGTAACTTGAAGGAAGTTTGATACTGTGCAAGAATCACTGGATTCGGGGTTATTTGCAGTTTTATACCTTTGAACAAGTAATGAAATCTTTGAAGCTTAGTTTTTTGTACTTTTTCCTTGACAAATGATCAGAAGGATCACATACAGGCACCAAAGCAGACTTAGAAACCTCTGGAACGGGGATTCTACTATTTATATGACTTCTAACAGAGAATGAAATGAAACCATACCTTTCAATTCAAAGTCCAAAATAAGTTTTGTATAATTTAGGGTTTTAGAAGAAAGTTGAAGTCAATGTCATTTTTGCATTATTTTCCAATTGCAAACTGAAGTAATAATTCTTGGAATTCTCTGTAGAAGGCATTGTGCTGAGTGGAAAAATCCAGGAAGTGCTTCTTATCCTTCAGTAACTTATAACCTGATTGAAAATTTTTAAAAACTCACTTGAATTTTTCTAAATTGAGAATGTTTTTCTTGTATGGGGAAATGAATGAGAGGTAAAGGAGTTGAGATCACACTGTTATGCCCACGCAGGAGCTGGAGGGGTAGGAAGAACTCTCCGGGTTGACAGTGTAAATAGTATGTGCTGAATTCTGGGCTAGGTTTATTAAATGGACGCTTTTAGCTCATCCTGTGAGGGATGTTGTCATCCATGGTACAGATAGGATATTGAGGTGCCAAAGCAGAAGAGTCTATGAACACAATCTAGAAAATGCAATTCCTACATAACATTAAGGAGATGAGTGTGTTTAAAATAAATCTTCAAAACTGTAAAAGATAGGAAGTTATGAGGAAATGAAGCTGTGGCCAGTTGGTTTTCAGTAGTACCATGTTAAGGCCTCTGGAATTGACTTGGAGGGCAGCAGGGTCTCATGGGAGGACTTTAAGCAAGGGAGTGATACTAGCACATAAGGAAACCTAATCTTTCAATTGTAAAGTAATGAAATCCTTGCAGTAGAAGGTTATTGTAGAATTGAAGGAAAGGTAAAAGCAAGGATCATTGTATTATTATTTGTAAAGTACTTGTGTCTATCAAAATGTTGATGCATTGTTCTATTTGATCTAGTGAGTTACCTATAGATCAAAGCTGGATCCTTGATGGTTTTCCAATGACATTAAACCAAGCACAGCTTCTGGAGGAAACTCTCACAGGCTGCAACAGAAACCTCATAGAAAAGGAGACAAAGAAAACACAAATATCTACACTGGCTGTTGATCCTACAGCTTCCAAAGAAGTACCTCCTCCCCCGTCTGCATTTGATTTTGTCATATTATTAGATATTTCAGATGCTTTCTCACTGAGTCGCAAGAATGATATTATGGGTAAGTCCAACACCTTTTTATTTTTTAGACTCCGTTTAAAACATTTTATTACAGCATTATAGTTAAATGTCATATTGAGGTTCAGTGACATAGTCACACAGGCATGGACTGTAACTTGCTCCATTTTAGTCCTCAGTACTTCCTCTTTCCCTCCTCTCCTCCCTCCCACTGTTCCCTTCCTCTACTCTACTGGTCTTCCTTCTATTTATTTATTGTTTGTTTTAATTGCTGATTTATAGATATACATAAAGGTGGAATTCACTGTGGTACAGTTATATATGTTCAGGGTATAATTTGGTAAATTTCACTCTGTAGTTCTTCCCTTTTCCTGTCCTTCCTCCCACCCCCTCTATCTCCTTCCTCTGGCTCACTGATCTCCCTCCTGTTTTGATGGGATCCCCTTCCTTTTTTTCTCTTATTTTGCTCTAGCTTTATTTACTTTTTACATTTTTTTTTTACAATCAAAACTGTTGGTTTTATTTGTTCTCTGATTCAGTGAGTACAATTGTAAGAAAGAATCCATTTCAGTCTTTCAAAGACTTATCTGGCTGAGCATATTTGCCTCTGACTTTGACTGTTAGCATTCAGCACCAAGGTCAAGCTTGGAACAAAAGGAGAACTGCAGGCTGACTGCAGGCATCTCACTCTGGCAGCTGCCTGACACAGAGCCTCCTTTCATTTGATTTAAAATTGAGTGTACAGGGCTGGAGCTGGGGCTCAGTGGTAGAGTGCTTGCCAAACTTATGTGAGGCACTGGGTTCGATCCTCAGCACCTCATAAAAATAAATAAAATAAAGGTATTGTGTCTACCTACAACTAAAATACATATATATATATTTTTTTTAAAATTGTGCAACAGTGTTCACAACTTTGAAAATCCATCTGCACTTTTCATATTCAAATATGTAAAGTATAAAAAGGTTATTATTTCATCTTGAGATTTTTCTTTCTTAGAATTTAAAATTGTAATGATTTTTAAAAGATCTTTTTGTTAATGTTCTCCTTTATCTAAAGCAAGATTCCACCTAAACTATTTTAGACAGATAAAAGGATATTCTTCTAAAGTATCTTGTTCATTGACACAGTCATTTAATTTATATCCACGCTTACTAAGTGCCAGACACTGGTGATAGACCTATAAAGGAAAAATGGGTCCCGCCTCCAAAAAGTGTAGTGAAAATTTTAGACAAGGAACCAAGGGATTATGGCATAGAGCTGTGCTGTCCAGCATGGTGGCCACTAGTCACATGTGCCTATTTACATTAATTTAAACAAATAAATGAAAAATGCAGTTCTTCAGTCACACCTATCACAATTTATGAACCAGTGTGGCTAGTAGCTACCAGATTGACAGCACTGACACAGAATGTTTTCTTCCTATTGGACAGCACTAGGACACATTGATGGGGGCTAAAATGGTAAATAGTAAATATTTACCTAATATTTATAAGGTGTCAGGCATTGATCATATAGAAATGAAAGGCTAGTCCCCATTTCTCCATTGTTTATGGGATAATGTGAAGAAAAATAAACTTAATTAGATAATGTGGTTTGTTATATGCTATAACAGAGATGCCCAGCATGGGGAGAGGTTAGCCCAACCAAAACAAGGAGCAAACTAAAGAGGAAGCATTTGCATAGCTTAGCTAGTGAGCACAAAATGTTTATTCAGAGAACAGCAAGAACCTCATTAGGACTGAGAGACTTCACCAAGGTCTGCTGGAAAGTAGGTGGGGGACCAGTTCAGAGTCTGGCAGTAAACTGAGTTGTTCAGACTTTATCCTGAAGCTGTGTAAAGCCACCCTATGACACTAAACACAGGTCTATTGCATTTAGATATGCTTTTTATAATGATAGTTCTGGCTTCAGTGTGGATGATGAATCAGAAAAGGAGTGAGATTGGAAGCAATTACACAAGTTAGAAAATTACCATTTTAAAAGTAACAAATACATTAAGACAGCAGCAAGAGGCAAGGGAGGAACAATCAGATGCAAGTGATATTTAGGGAGTAAACTTGGGGAGACCAGGATGACTTTGTTTCCAGTTTGCCCAGATTTTTGAATGGTGATACCATTCACTTAGATAATATAGAAAAAAAAAAAAAAAACACTCAGAATTTCTTTTGGGATTGTGTTGATCTTGAAATGCCTGTGGGACAATTAAGTTAGGATATTCTGAAAACAATTCTATAAATGGCTCTAGATATAATGAAGGAAGTATAAAGATTTTAAGGTGAACAGAATCATCTAGGAAGAATGCATAAGAAAAAGATCCATACCGACACAAAAACATCATAATTTAACGTGGAGAACAGAGGAAGACTATCTAGAAGCAACAGCTAGAGGGAAAGCAAGTCAGGGAGCATACTGTCTCCCAAGAAAAGAAGACAGATTTTCAAAACAGGTATTGTTCAAACTCCCTCCCAGACCAGCCTGAGCCAGGGTGTAGGAACCCAGTCACTAGGATCCAGTACAGTGTGCCGTCTTGCAATGCTTGGGGTCCTTGGAGAAGCCTGAAGAACAACATCACAGAGACGCACATTATACCAAAGCCAGGTGGACTGCAGAGCATCAATCCAGCTAGGGCTGGGCAGAGAGCAATGGTCCAAACCAAAGCCAACAGGCAGAAGACCAGAAGGACCTAAGGAGAGAGATAGACACCATTAAGAGAATGGTGTCAGAAATGAAGAGCTAAAGGCTGCTCAGGCTGTTCAGCCAGTGCTTCTGGCCCTGGATCATGAGTCTGAGAAGGGAAGCAGTGTACAACACTTGGTGACAGGTAGTAGAAAGTCAGGCTCATCCTTTGTATCCAATGGTGACTGAAATGAGACATGAGGGGCTTCCAGGGATGATATTGTTTGTTTCTTGCTCTGGATACTGACTACTTTCAGTTTCTGGAATTCATCAAACTCTTTATTTATGTATAGATTCTTTTTTTTTTTTTGGCAGATACAATTGAATGAAGAGTATTAAAATTAAAAAATCCAAAATCTGGAATCAAAATGACTAGAATCAAATTCCTTTTCTACTACATACAAATTTATGCAGTTTGGGGACAATTAGAGAACCCAAATCTTGCTTTACAGGTTTTGCTGTGAATACAAAATAACATAGTATGTTTAAGAGCATTTAAGAACTAACTGTGTGCTAAATTCTACCTATTTATGCTACAGAGAAATCAAATAAGATAAAGACTGAAACATGTCCACTGGCTTTGACATTTTAGATGGCTAGAATGAGAACTATCTCATTGGCAATAGCAGGGATGGGGGTGGTAATGGATTTCAGCAGGCTGAGGCACAAATAGGAGGTGTGTAAGTAGAGTGTGTGGGTGGAGATAACTACCAAAGAAGCTCATCTGGAAAGAAAGCATGGTGACATGGTAGTCTGTTTTTGGTCTCCCTCCTTCTCTCTCTTTACTTTAGGAAAGGGTGCATATATATGAAAGACCTCAGATGATTTTTGAGGCAGGGAATCAGTTATGTATTTGTTATAGTTATGTATAATTTTCCTAGAAGTCTACCATAGATGTCCCCAATCTACGTAGGGGAAGAGAGGGGAACATCATCTAAGCCTGGTATAGCAGAGGAACACAGAAATTGGAGTGGTTAGATGGGGAGAGAAGTTGAAGTGTTCAATTGTGCAGTTTAGGCTTTCTAAAAAATAAAGACACCAGCCAATTTGGGAGGAAAATATAGGAATTCAGGAACCAGATGCTGTTGGAAAGATTTAGCAGTTACACAAGAGTGTTGTTCAAACCAGAGTTTGTGGTAGGAATTACAGTGGCAATGGTAATGGGTGCTGGAAGAAGAAAGAAGAGACTGGGCAATGACTGGGCAGTGTTGGCAGAGAGAGGAATGAATCCATTTGGCAAATATGAAATAGTGACCATGAGATGGTGCATGATAACATCTCCTAAGAAGAGATCCCACAATTTTCTTCAATCACCCATTCTGTAGAAGGGGAACAACTGATTGCTATACCCTGTGATGGCCCTTGATTATCTTGAATGCTATTAATTTACTCTTCAGTGCTTTTTTGCTTTGAGTAATTCTAATTTATTTTAATGTAGTTCCAGGCTTTCTTTCCTGTCTTTAGATGTAGTGGGTTTTATAAATAGCCAAAAAAAATGCATGCACATTATCCTGTATTCTAAATCCAATTCATCTTGTTCTATCATGAATATAGAAGGGGAACAACTGATTACTGTGCTTGTGAAGGTCCTTCATTTTCTTGAATGTCATAAATTCATCCTTCAGTGCTCTCTTGCTTTGAGTATCTCTAATTCTTTTTAATCTAGTTCAAGGCTTTCTTTTCTCTTTATCATTTCCAATTATTCTAATATTATGAGTGTCCTGAATTTTGTGCCGTTTATCCAGAACTGGACGCAATAAGAGATGTTGAGGCTGTTTTGTTTTTTTGTCCCTGTGATCTATTTTTTATGTCTATTAAAGAGCAGGAACTTATGAATCTAGGAAAAAAAAACATTGTTTATTCTATGGTATTGTAATATAATGTCAAAAATAATTCTATGTGTATTTAACTTTATGGCTATCTTGTTATTTCATTCTTAATTTTTACTTCATAGCATTGATTTTTCTTTATTCCAAGTTTGTCATCCCTCATGACCCATCATCAGTTTTCCTCCTCACCTGTTCATAATATTAAATCAGACTTTTTTTTGAGAGAAAGATATCTCTGAAATAAAAGGTTTATTAAGCTGTTACAGATCCTCAGCCAAATTAAAAGGACTCATCCTGGGACAGATCCCCTAAACTACTTACAGCATGGGCAGATAGCACTTGCCAAATAGCCAAGGAATGCAAGGAGCCAGAGTACTTTATAATGAAATTTTATGGGAGAAGAATCATAAGTCATTTACTAATGTACCTACATTGACTACAGATAAGAGAAGTAGGATAATGGGAAGGGGCAAAGTGCTGGGATCAGAGGATAATCCAAAAAGAGGTCTTGCTGCTGCTTGATTGGTTTTAAAAGCAGAATGTGATGTGGTCTTTATGGTTAATTTTCAACATGCAGTGAAGGAACACAGATCATTTGTTTTCTTCTTTTTAGGTTTAGCTTGAAGCTGTGGGTTAAAATAAACTCCTTTCATGTTTTTCCTCCTATCATCTGCCTTAATTTAGGATATTCAGAATTCTTATCAATAGTCAATTCTAAGATCCTCTACTTTGAAACTATAGCTCCTTTTTAATGTCTTACCCCATTTTCTCCAATTTCCAAGAACAATTTGAATTCTCATTCCAAAACTGTATTCTTTCAACATTTTATTAAACATTTTTTAAGCAATATTGGACCAAAGACTGGACCATATCAATTGGCATCTTGCACTAGTATATTTTAGCGTAAGTAGCAACTTGACTGGTTTAGAAAATTATGTAATTATTTTTATATCATAGCTGAAGAATTTGCACATGAAACTACTCACAAAGATATTGGTCAACCCAGAGCTGCTGAAAACCAAGATAAGGATGTGAACCAGAACTTAAAGGACCAGATACAACATAGGTTCGTTTTAAACTAAATGCCCTGCTTATTGTTCCTTGCCCTTTGAACAGACTGACAATTACCCACTTTGAAATCATCACATGTAGAAAAAATAATTATTTCCTGGCATTCAGTTTTCATTTCTTTCTTTCTTTCTTTTTTTTTTTTTTTTTTTTTTGTGCTGGGGATCGAACCCAGGGCCTTAGTCATGCAAGCTGGCATTCAGTTTTTTACAGGTAAAATAAAACTAAGTGGTTTTAGTGTTGAGTGAAATGTTTATGTGGTAGATTTTATATTCAGAGCCTAAGTCATTATACTCTGAGAAAAGAATTCAATAGGCAACATTTCACAGAGTGGTTACATGAACTTATAAGTTAATTATATAGAACTCATCCTAACCCATTAAGGAAATTCCACTGAAGATCATGGAACTTCAAAGAGCTAGGTATCAGACTACAGAGTGTAGTTCTAAGGGCACTTCTGTTTTGCTAAAAGGAAGTTGGTGACATTCTTCTGGTTATGTACAATTTTACTTTGGAAAAATTTGGACAAAAAAGATAATTTTATGAAATATTGAGAAGTCTAAAAATATGAAGTGAGCCAGAGAAGAGTAATTTAAGCCATATATTAAGGCTATATCCTGTCTGGGAATAAAAAAGTTTCAAGAATAATTCCAAGAATACTTTTGAGGAAAGAAAATAAGTCTGAACCATCTATACCTACTCAAAGGCCTCTTCACTTTCAATCTCTAAGAAAAAAATTAGATGTCATGGATGGATCAGGCTATGACTACCATCATAAGAATACTCAGTGTCGCTCTTCATTAATGCAGATGATGTTTCTTAGATTTTAAAATAGAGAACTAAAGGACACTAAAGATTTCCTGAACTGGTGACATTTTCAAATCTTCTTTTATTCTTATATGTATCTCAAAATATGTCTTAATGGTATTGAATAATTTCTTTAATCTAAATTCAATAATATTCTATTCCCTATATATTTCTCAAAGTTGTTTTTTTCAGATTTGTTAGTAACCTTCCCCTTGCTGTGACCAAAATATCTGACATAAACAACTTGGAAGGACAAAAGATCTATTTGGGATTAAGGTCTCAGAGGTTTCAGTTTATGGTTGATTGGTTTCATATCTTTGGCAGAAAGGCATGGCAGAGGAAAGCTGTTCAGCTCATGGCAGCCAGGATGCAGAAAGCCCGAGAGAGGAAGAGGCTGGGGAGAAGATATACCCCTACAGGACATCCCTCTAGTTGGGCCTCACTGCCGATAGTTTTCCCCTCCTCCTACATAGTCCACTTCACTATGATAGATTAAGCCTTTGGTGAGGTTAGTGGCCTAATGGTCCAATCACTTCCCCAAAGCCCACCCCTGAATTCTTCTGCACTGGGAACCAGAAATTTCGATACATGAGTCATTGGGGGAAACTTCACATCCAAACCATAACAAGGTTCATAGAAGATTACTATATATAAGATTATATATAAGATTACTATATGAGTAGTCTGTATTTTTATTATGCATGTCGAATAAATCATAATATCATAATTATTGTTTCTTTACTCAGATGTTTCAATATATTCATATAACATTTTGATTTTGCAGAATTACAAGCTTCTTGGACAACTGGCCTTTGTTGGAGCAATGGTTTTCAGAGACAGAAAATGTTCTGATAAAAGTTAATGCTGAAATAGATAAGGAATCTTTGTATCAAAAACTGAAAGACATTTTGTCAACTGAAATTGTGAAAAAAAGGAACAAAGGTATTTACATTTCTTTATGTAACTTAAATAAGTGGTTTTCATGAGTTTAAGAAGAAACAAGGGTATAATTGCAAAGTTTTCTCGTTTGGGGGTTTTACTCTCTACAAATGTATTCTGCCTCTAACTTTAGTTTTCAGCTGCATATGTGTTTGAATAAACTAGTTCTCTTCCATTAAAATTAATGTAATCCAAGAGGTCATTTTGCTGACAGTATTGTTTTCATTTTAAAAACAGAAATAGCAGACTTAAAATTAAGGATGCTGGTCATATTGTATTCTTTGAATATATATAATCTTATTTGTCAATTAAATTTCTGTAAATAAAAGTTAAAAATTAATGATGCTATAGAGAAGAGTAAATATTTAAATTTGTTAAACTTCAGCATTATAAGGTAACAGTATGTGAATTCTCTTTTTAGGATGGAAGTAGTAGGTGCTTAGCTCCCCCAAATGTGTTTATTTTGGTATGAATTTATTGATTATTAATTTCTTCTTTATTAGCTGTCTTCTGTGGTATATTGCCCTTACATTAACCCATCTAGACTTTCTTCCTCCTTCATTCAACCAATAAAAATTGCCCATTACCTTTTCATATATTAATGGAACTTATTTGAAAGAGGTTTTTAACTCAGTTCAATGCAACACTTCCGTTGGAATTTTAACTTTGAAAAATGATTTGATAAAAAATCTTTTTTTTTTATATCAATTGCCCCTAATTATATACCAACCACATTTTTTTGGTGTAATAATAAATGGTCAAAGTTAATAAGATCAGAAGGATTCTGAAGTTGCCTTAGTAGTTTCACTTACTCCTGTCCTTTGACTATGACCTAACTATCATAATGTATCAGTGAACTGACACCAAAGCAGTGCATCAGCATAAGCCCCTGCCACCATGGGGAAACAGGGACTCAGACTTAGAAGCTCCTACATCTGCTCACAAACACACACCAGGGAGAGGCTTTCCATCAAAACAAAAACAAATCCATAGAGTATTTTGAGAGGCTTAGAATGTGACAGACACCAGACTGAGAGGTGGGAGGACAGCTTCCACAGCCCCTCTTGGAGGTCTTGGTGGGGAAGCCAAACCAACATTAATCCACCCTGTAAAGGCTCAAAGCTGCAGGCTAGAATCCATTTGCTTTTGCCAGCCATCAGTTCCAAAGTTAGCATTTTCCTAAAATGTTAAATTCTGTAATGTAATCAGACCACTGATGGCATTAACAGGGGCAACTATCAATGTAGGGTTTACAGGTTAATTAGTTAATTACTAATAACTATATAGCAAATATTTTATTATTAAATCAATAGGTGCTTACCTAGTCTAGTGCTCTATATTAAACACCCTGATTAAGTTAAAAATAAAATAAATTGTGGTGCTTCTGTATATATTTCAACATGAAAAAAATGACCATAATATATTGTTAAGTAGAAGATTTCACAGACAATCCCCTTTCTACATATTTTTCTAAATTCTTGGGTTTTAAAACAGTAATTATGCATTACTTTTATAATCAGGGATTCCTCACCAGTGGATCAGTGGTCTCAGAGTGGGCACCTGTGGTCTGGAGGGTTGCAGAGCCTGAGGTGGTCAGTGGGGTGTGCCAGGAAGGGTGAACTGCATCATGACAGGCAGAGGGCCACAGCAATGCTGGGAACCTGGAAAGACCTGGCCAGCCACGTTCCAGTCCTCAAAGCACCCAGGCTGGCTGTCTCGTCTCCTCTTCTCTAGAACACTCCTCCATCATGTATCTACAAGTCATTTCATGACTTTCTTCATATATTACTCTAATGTCAGCTTAGCAGTGGACCCACCCAGCTTAGCACCCTATGTAAAACTTAAAACAACATCCTACAGCACACTCCTGACCCACCTTCCTCTCTTCAGTTCCTTTTCTTCCTAGGGGATATTACCTTTCAACCTTTTGTATAAATTAAATTATTCATCATGTTGATGGTTTGCCTACTACCACCAGAACACAAAATTCACCAGGGCTTTGATTTTCTGTTTTACTGTTGTATCTCCAGCAACCAGACCTGTGCTTAGTGTTGTTTGTAATAGTACTTAATAGTCAGATTATTTTAGAGTTATAGCCCTTGCTTTTCTTTGAGAGATGATATAGATTCAATAAATAGCCTTTGCATGGCTGGGCACGGTGGCACATGCCTGTAGTTCCAGCTACTTGGGAGGCCAAGGCAGGAGGATCATAAGAGCCTTGGAGTTCAAGATCACCAGCTGGGCAACATAGTGAGACACTATCCAAAAAAAAAAAAAAAATCATGACATGAATGAATTTATATGAATTAATAGCTAAGTTTTAATTCAGGACGTATGCACCATGCAGTGTTCTAAACACTTGATATGCATTTCCACACATTATTTTCCTCTTCCATTTCCTCCCAACCCCCACCTCTTCTATCACATTGCTTTTAACCCTCTTTTTATGCCTCTTTTACCTTGTTTTTCCACTAGAAACTGTGAGATAGCTCTTTATTTTTTCATTCCTTTTTATTAACTAGTTCTGCTTTGTTACATTTCCATTTGGCACCTATTCAACAAACCTTTTAGCTGCTCTGTGTACATGCATGTGCACACACACACACACACACGCATGCACTCACGCACGCATGCACACCCCATCACCCTCACCACCTCCATCATCACCACCTCTACCACTTCAAACCCCATCAAAAGGCAAGAGAAAACCATATTTGTGACCAGGTAATGAAAGACTAAAATCTTGGCTTTCAGGACTGGATGATTGAGAGAGAGCCCTAAGACACAAATTGACCTTAAATCGTTAAGTGTAATTTCATATTAATTTCAGTTTCTCTTAGTTCAAGTGAAATAGTGAGTGTCTGGAATCCCTAATGAAGGTTCATTCTTATCGTCTTTTTGAAGTTGAAAAGAAATTAGAAGAAAAGGAAGCTGAGAAAAAAGCAGCAGCTGCCCAGGCAGAGCCTCCACCCCCGCCTCCTCCCCCACCTCCTCCTGAGGCGGAAAAAGAGAAGGAAAAAGAGCCTTTGAAAACTTCTCCTACCAAAGGAAAACCACAATCAGGTGACTGACAGGGTGATTTATAATCTGGTTGCCAGTGCTTTATTTTCGCTTAGAAAAGAATTGTAAATTAGAGTGCCAGTCTGTTTATGTGGATTCAGCCTTTGGCAACTTCAGTCATGAGAAACAAAGATCTACACTCAGGTGGAAGTAGAAGAATCACTATTTCTCTCTCACACACACATACACTCTCCCTCTTTCTCACTCTTTCTCTGCTAGGAATTGAGCCCAAGGCCTCTCACATGCTGTACACATGCCCTACCACTGAACTACACTCCACCTAACGAAAACCACCATTACTAGCCAAGAACACCTTTGATAAAATGCTCAGGGTCTTCACTGTTTAGCAAGGAATGTGAACTCATCACACTCAGGCCAGCTGATGAGAATAAGAACATAGTCAGGAAGAGAAAAAACACAGAAGAATATGAAGTAATTTAGGGCAGATCAAGAGGACAATTGTTTGCTGAACTATAGAGTTACATTGATGTAAAGAGTGAGAGTGTCTTAATAAAATGAGAATTAACATAGCCAGATGTCTATAAGAATAAGGGAACCAATCAATAGCATCCATTAGAGACTAGAATTTGTCTGAATGTGAATCTTCAGAGTTATGTGGTTATCAAAGGAAAGAAATAAATATCTGACATCTCAGTAAACTTGTGTTTATGGTTCTATAGATGAAAGTCTTCATAGAGAATATTCTTTAGTTTGAATTCCTTTTATATCCTTAACTACTAAGGAGCATGTGATAGACAATGAATATAATGACAAAAGTAAAGTGTTTGATCATTGTATAAATTAGTAGGATGTTTGTATAAAACAGCCCTGGCTCTAGTTTCTGGTTTCCACTTTACAAATGGGTGGCCATGCACTTACACAAGTCTACCTAGTCTTAAGGTTGTGTCATAATTGGACTTCTAAACTCCAAATCTTTGGGCTTCATGAAGACTTTAGATGAGTCTGAACCTTTAAAAAAATAAATTTATTCATACTAAGCAAGGAAATTTGAAAATTTATGGTATATTAAAGATAATTTCACTCCCACAATAGAAGCTTAACTAAAGGCAAAATTCACAGACATTAAAGTTTTTACCATATGACAATAAAATACAAAGCCATGAATTAAGTATACATCCTTAAATATGCATCCTTTTTCTACTACCTTAGTAGGAATTTAAAAAACAATTCAAAGGTCTGGAGAAAAAAAATAAAAATCTTGAAAAAGCTTTTCAGAGCTGAGAAAGACAGTTTTCATAGTGTGTAAATTAGCCTGGATTTATCCACTATGGTTCTTTAAGCTATAGCCATGACTCTACTCACCCCTTACACCCCATCAACTGGCTTCAATCAGAGTATCAATGTATTTGAGCTGTTCTCTAAAACTGATCTCTCATGTTTCTGATTATGACATAGTTCAGTCCTTAAGTTTCTCAAGATTGTTTGCTATTTTAAAATTGTTTTCTTGAACACTGTGCATTGGAGGAATAATAAATCTATTGTTGCTTCAAAGACTGAGTGTACCTGTCTGTTTTTTCCACCAAAAGCAGTGCTAATACCTAATCATTAAATAATGTTTGAAAAGATTAATCTCTAGAGGCCTAATTACTGCTATTCAACAATAGTGCATCATTGGTATCCAACAATAGTGCATCACTCAGTGTCATGGGCCTCAATAGAGCAAGGAGTGCTGCCCATTCAGCTCAGGGAGAGAAGTTTCTGGAAGGTTTTTTTTTTTTTTTAATTATATAAATAATTTCAATTTTTCTTCAAAAGAGAAACTTTCCCAAGTGAATTCTGAGGCTTCTGAACATGCCCAACTCAGACATTCAATTACAATATTTTCTAGAAACTGAGATGAAAAGAGGAATTAATTCCTAAAACAATAACAACAAAATATGGAACGGGGTAGAAAAGTAGACAGAGTACACTGAATTCTAACATAATTTTGTTCAAATATAGTTCTATGTTTTATATACTTCTACATTTTATACCTGCTTTAAACACACGTGAGATTCAATTTAGAAAAGATCACAGCTGTGCTCCCTTGGAAGGCTTATTATGAACTCCACCACCAAACAGCAGTATTGATTTGAACTGAAGTTCTCAGTATGGCAAAATAGAAGAGCACTTATTAAAATAAATCTGAATAAGCCCACATTTCAAATGGACTTGGAAGTTTAAAAACTCCACAATTCCATTGCAGAGGATTATGATCATATTCATTACCAGATGTTAATATTAAAGTTTGAATAAAATTCTCAGAGGGATGAAATAGAAAAATACTAGCAGGGATATCATTTGAGAAGCTCCACATTCTATCTTCAGGTTAATTTTAACTCACAGAACAGACCCGAGCCATTTTGTGTGGTTCACAAATATAACTATTTATCTGTGAGAAATAACATATGATTGCTTAGAAATCATATAGCCTAAGCTATTGGAGTAAGTCATCGGTAACACCTGTGTGTTGAATTTTGTTTAGAAACCCCACGTGGTAAACAAGAAGCTCTTCGTGAAGGAAAAGGAAAGAAAGGTGAAACTGCACCCAAAAGAAAAGGAACAGCAGAAAAAGGTAGATACTATTTGTGTTAGTCAGGTTTTCATCACTGTGACAAAGTTGGCGAAGGAAAGATTTGTTTTGGCTCAAGGTTTCAGAGGTTCAGTCCATGGTTGGCTGGCTCCAAGGCAGAAACACCATGGCAGAAAGGTGTGACAAAGGTAGCCTGCTCAGCTCATAGCAGCCAGGAAGGAGAGAGAGAGAGAGAGAGAGAGAGAGAGAGAGAGAGAGAGAGAGAGAGAGAGACCAGAGAGTGTACCCCCAGTAACCTAATTCCTTCTACTATGTCCCACCTCCCAGTAGTTCATGCAGCCATCAGTGGATTAATCCATCCACTGATGAGATCAGAGCCCTCATAATCCAATCACTTCCCAAAAGCCTCGCTTTTAAGTATATGATATTCAGGGGCATTCTAGATCTAAACTATGACATTATTACATGCAATCCACATTGTGCAAGTCTGTCAGTGAAAACAGCTAGGAGTATATATGAGTATGCATTGACTATATCTCTCAGGCATTTGTAAATCATAAGTCCTTACCAAAGAAAATAGCCTCAAACTTTGTGTATCCTGCCTTTTAGCAAGGTCCCTGCTAAGAAAAGTGGTGCTTGCAGGGAATCATTCAGAGAATGTCCAAGAGGCAGAATATGCATTCATCAGCGATCTTCATTAGTATTATCCTTGGGCTAAGTAAGCTTTGCCATCAGAAAGTTACACATACTGCCCTGAATTTTCTTTGACCTTCTATTAAATTGATTTCACTGGTAAAGTTTATGAAGTCCTCATAAACTTCTTCTACAGTAGAACATAACAGTGGAGGTAAACTTTGATATACTCACAATAACCTTGTATTACATTTCTGTGGGGATACTATGTCCACTACATTGTTCAGTGACCCCTACATGAAATCGTAGGTAAGAAACTTTATTCAGTATCAAGGACCAGAAAAAATTTCCTTCCTCTGAATGAGGATATAATTAGCACCCAAAATGACAGCATTTCCCTTTGTATTTTGGCTGTCTGGAAGTTCAGAACCAAATTTTTGGCTCGGTTTACTGCCTGTACAAGGACCTACATCTCAATATCTGCTTTTTCTTGTCTCTCCTGGTTTTGACCTTCCATTTTATGTTACAGTTTTTTCCTTCACCCTTGTTTCATTTTAAAAAATATCTTACTTTAACTGTTTATTTGCAATAAAGGGGACATAATTTTAAAGTAATTAATAGTTTGTTTAAAAAAAATTCCCGAGTCTGTAAGTCATGTTAGTTAGATTTATGTTAAGGTGCTATAAAGTAGCCAATTAACTAAAGGCTGAAATGCAGTTGGGGATACACACAGTCAGCTGCTTCTGTTCTTCTTTACATTCAAATGGCACTGTCATGAAGTTGTGCCTTTGCTTAACTGTTCATCACAAATTGAACACAATTGTAGTTCAAGAGTGTGCAATGTCCGCAAAGTGATGTGGTTGTTTTGGCATTTAAATCACGATTCTCAACGAGACTCTCATCCCTCTCTGATTATAGGATTGTAGGCCTATAGAACTAGAGTGGATTGGCAAGTTAACACTGACATTAAAATTTTAATTCAAATCTAAGAGCAATAATTTATGATATAATAATTTACTTATTAATTGAGTAGTTTTCACATTTTATATTATTTATCCCTTGCTTGTTCATTGTTATCCAAAAAACAAAAACAAATGAAGGATCATCATATAATCATCAAAAATAGCAATTAAGTATGCTTACTAGGTACAAAATCATCAGATTTAGACACAATAATGCACATGTTATAGAGCATCTTCTTAATTAAAGGAATACAAACTCCAAACAAACCACAAGCAAACACCCAAATACAACAGTAAAATACATACATTGGAGCCATGTACTTAGCTCAATATCACTAACTCAAAAGATTTAGCTTTTATCCTACTACTTATTCTATAATATTAAATAATATTTGAAATAGATGAACTCTCAATCAAAATTTAGAAATCTGTCACAAAGAAATATTTTGACATTTATAATAAGAGAAGATTTTCTCCTTCATGAAGAAAAATAACATTATTTTTTTTAATATTTGAAATTAATATCACCATGGGTGAACACTATTAATCGATTATCTGTTTATCTCACAGGACATTTGATCATGATTATATTTAAAGAATCTCTTGTGAGTTGAGCAACTATCTCTTTTCTCCTTTCTTCAAAATCATCCTTCTATTCTGATATTGGTGTCTTTGACTCATTTATATTCTTCTCTGCATGTTAGATCAATCTCTACCCCTCCTCTCCTAAAATCTTAACATTGAGATTCCATACACAATTCTATTTAGGTAATCTTAACAGTGTTTCTTAGCCTCTTCTATCCATTTGCCATTGACCCTTTATAGTCCTTCAGAAAGCAATGGCTTTTAACTCTATAGTTTTACATGGGAGATGCTAATTAGGATTCTAATAAAGATACTAACTAACTAAGTTCAGAAAATGCTAAGTTGCATCACGTTTAAATGTTTTTTAATTATAGGATTTTTTTTCTATGTCAACATGCATGTTTCAGGGAGTGAGAGATGTAGTAGGTAGGATCCAAAAGCATATTGTTTGCAGAATTCTTCTCCCTTGGGGAGTATCTGTTGAGACTAGAGTTCTCACCAACGAACACTTGGGAATACAATAATACCATCTTTAGTTCCTGTGATCTGCTCCACATGTTCACATTAGTATTGTTCCAGTGCTTGCCTTCTAACTTGAGTTAAATTTCAGTTATTATAGGTGCTATGGGCCTCTAAAAAAACTGTACTGTCAATGTTAAAAACATTAAACTCACTTATTTGAAGTACTGTGGAAGATAGAAAAAAGAGTCAAAGTTGAAATGAAATCGATTTTGCTAGATGTATCTACAAGAGCGTTGTCTCTTAAGGTGTTGGCCCTGGACCAGCAGCATCACCTGGGAACTTATTAGAAATACAAATATTCAGCCTAACTCCAGACCTACTGAATCTGAAACTCCAGGAGGGATGCCCAGCAACTTGTATTTTAACAAATCTTCAGGGGATTCTGTTGATCATTAAAGTTTGTGAACCTCTACATTAGAGCCCAAGGCTTACTGCTCTATTGTAGTCATTGGAATATAAGAAACATTTGTAAGGCATAATTAGAATCAATTCTGGCTTATAGTAAACTTATATGTGTTGTTGTTATTGGACCCAGACCAATTTTCCAAAGACAGTGGATAGAAAGTGGAATTCTATGTAAAGTTGACCAAGGAAGAGCCCTTCACTTATCACTGATTATAATTATACTAAAACTAGGTTTTGTAAGTGATATCAGATATCAATCTCATTACTTTTCGGTTGTCCATATGCCATCTCTCTAATTCCACAGAGGAGCAACATGAATTCTAGGACAGTGAGGAGAGGAAACTTTCCTTACATGAGCTTTTTCACACAGCTTCTCGATACTGAGCTAGAGAGTAAGCTGGTTCATGATCAGTCTCTGGCTCCTTGCCTAATTCTGCCCATCTTCTCTTCCTGATTGTATTATCTCAGTCAACTAAATTTCTAAGCTAAAATTTTAATCTTATCCAAGCCATCCTGAATACCAGCTTTGGTTGTCTCTGTTTGAAGCTTAGGCAGCCATCAGCATTAGCTATTAGTTAAAAGTCAGTTTTGGGGGCTGGGGTTGTGGCTCAGTGTTAGAGTGCTTGCCTATCACATGTGAGGCACTGGGTTCAATCCTCATCACCATATAAAATAAATAAATAAAAATAAAATATGTTCGTCTACACTAAAAATATTTTTTTAAAAAGTCAGTTTTGGCCCAATGTGGCTGACTCCCAAGGCAATTAGAAAGCCATCGCTGCTAACTTAAACTTCTGGCTCCTCCCTAGAGAAACTATTAATAAAATCTGGTTCTACTAGAAATATTTTGGAACCAAAGGATAATAACAATAATGCCTTTCTTGATAACATAATAAATCAGATGTTTCATATCTTTTCCTCCTTCCTACAGTTTTTACCTCTCAATCCTCTAATCTCCCTGGGTATTAATTTAATGCAAAAGTATTTTTGTTCTCTTAGTGTCTTCTCCTAGTCAGTTAATACAGTTTATTCTTACCTAAGAATTGTTTATTTTCTTATTTAATTTTTTGTTTCAGGTCTTGACTTTTAGGTCTTTATAAAGTTGGTACTGATTTTTTTCCCCTCTAACCTATTGCTCAGTCATTTCATCTTTGGTTGACTATTTCTTTATTTGTAATATCGATTAAATAAATCCTGTATCCTAAAATCAAAATTTTCTTTTTACTTTATTTTTATTACCTGTACTAGTTCCTTAGGCTTCTGCATGTTACCATAAGTTTATTTTAAGAAATAAGTTGCTAAAATTTACCTGTACAACATACTAGCCAAAACTTATTCTCCAAATCATTCACCCTTGAGGAATAGCTACACCAAGCATTCAAGGATTCAATCTTTTAAGTGAAAGCAAATTTCTTATTAGAAACTGAAGCCTTTGAAGCAATGTTCCTTGTTGCACTTAAGATGATTTCAAAGGTTTTGTTCAAAACTGACATCTTTCCATCACTGTGGTGCACAATATTTATCCTTTCAAGTCTTTCCTCCCATGGACATTTTTATTGTTAAAAATTTGGATAAAACTCACACAGACTCAAAGCCAAATAGTTCAAAAACTATTCCCTATCTCTCTTAATTTTCACTAAATAATCATGATATTTATTAAGAAAAGGAAAAAAAAAGTGTAAAAAAAAAAGTGACTACTCAGTATAGTTCCAAGTTTATAGTTACTAAGCCCTTCATAGGATTTCTGCTTAGAAAAATTCATCTTGAGGTTACCATAAAAATATCACTTTTATTTCACCAGAGACTCAGGTCAAAGGATGAAAACTCATCCTATACTATACACACACACACACACACACACACGTACATACACACATGCACACACACATATATACACACACATATATGTATGTATATACACATTTTTTACACTTTTCTTTTTTTATAAATATATATATACATATATATGTGTTGTGTGTTTATATATAAATGTGTGTATTATATATATATATATATATATATATATATATATATATATACACACACACATATATATGGCATAGGATGAAATAAAAATATCACTTTTATTTCACCAGAGATTCAGGTCAAAGGATGAAAACTCATCCTATACTATATATATATATATATATACACATATACTCATATATATGCATATATATGTACATGTGTGTATATATATGTACATATACATATGCGTGTGTATACTGAATATCTTTAGCTATTACGTGCCCAAAATTTTTCTTAAATTTTTCTACATTTTCAAAAATTTAGATACAATTTCAGATCTATGGTAATGGATACTGTTTTTAAGTGTGTGTAAGTAAAAATGACCTAAACTGCCCACAGGACACCGTTGACAATTTCTCCTCTACTTATAATCCATGTATTTTCAATTAACATAAGAGTGGAAGATGTATTTACTTTTCTAAATAACATTGTCATTAAATAATATTCATTAGAAAAATATATTTGGGGCAAAGAAAGCACTCCCTATATTATGGGCATCTATAAACTGCATCTCAACATCTCAATAATTTATCTGAAGGTAAGAGGAATTAAAATTGAGTGAATTTCTAACCTTTAATAGCCTTGATCCCAGAGAACATTGGGGTTCTCTGAGTCAAGGAACAAGTCATTCAGACCATAAACTTGCCATTGTTCTAGACTCTTCTTGATGCTCAATACAGATAAGTGGGTGTCTTTTCAAATTCTAAATTAGAACACTACACCAACTCTTCCTCTTTCCACTTTTCCTCCTCTTGTCTCCTCTTCTTCTCCTTTCTTTCCCCTCTGTTTGCCTCCCATGCTCTCCCTTCCCCCTTTTCCCTTTCATTCCTTCTTCTTTTCTCACACCTTGATTCAGCCAGACTTATGGCGTAGCACCTACCTTCAACCATCAATTACTCTCTGGCTATAGCAAGAAAAGTAGTTTTTCCTAGAAGCCTTGTCACCTGCAGGGAGTGGAGGGAGGTTCAGGATCTGCAATGGCCTCTTCCCACCTGCCTGCCCCACCTCCTCCAGTTGACTCTTAAGAATTGGATTGTCCTTCTTTCCTGTCCTCTGCCCTGGACCCAAGGGACACCAACAGCACCACTCTTGTTCTAGCTGTCCCCTTTCTCATCCCAGACAGAGAGTTAAATTTGCACTAGGAAATGAAACACAATTTGCACTAGAGTCCAAACTTCATAATAACCACATGTTCAGTATAGAAGGGCAAAAATGGAAATAAAACATCAAGTTTTTCAATAGCCAATTGAATGAGAGCAGTTGTACTGCCTTAAAAAAAGAAAATATTTCATCACTATTTGTTTTATTGGTTAATTTGGGGGCTGTGGAGAAGAGAATGAGATATTTATTTTCATTTTTATTTTGTAAGACTGTATAAAGGAACTCAAGAAATAGTTAATGAATTGCCTAAAGTCCCTGGCAATCATGGATTGATTTATTTACTAGAAAGAATTCTGTCTTGTTCATCTACTTGTATCAAAATGTTTTAATATGCATGTTTAATTTCCTCCTAAAGGAAAATCACTAGGAGGAAAAACACCAGTAAAAAAATCACCTGCCGACTCTACAGACATATCACCCACTCCAACAGCACCACCACTACCAAAGCCAGGATCTGAAGAATGGGTCTACGTGAATGAACCAATCCCTGAGGTATGCAACTTACAGTCAAAGAATCCATTCTTTGTCTGGTTTATGATCCACATCATTATTTGCAACATACAAAAATCATTTCATAACTGGTAATATATGTGCACTCATCAAAAATCTGAGATAGAGCTAGGAGTGTAGCTTAGTGGTAATAACTCTTGAGTCGCATTCACAGGTCCTGTGTTCAATCCCCAGAACTACAGAAAGAAAATCAGAAAGAAAGTAAGAGAGAGATGGGGGTCGGGGGAATAGAGAGAAGAAATAACAAATTTTCTAGAGTTTATCATTAAAACACATCTCAAAGTTTCTCCTGTTCATTTGAGTTTCTGAGTCATATTTTGAACTTCTGTTGAGTGCTAAAATCAAGAGAGCAAATGGGTTCTGGGAGGACCAATTTTCTTCCCGAGGACAAGCAGAAATGCAGTTTCCTAGAATGACTTCCACTGAACACATACACAGCAAATTTATGACCCTCTATCCAGTTCTAATGCTCACATGCTTTTAAATGGAGTTTAACCTCTGATTCTTTAGAAATAGGAGAAAATTTTGAAGCTAAGTAAGCCTGTTTAAAAAAAAAAAAAAAAAGCGGATAGCTGAGGCTGGGGATGTGGCTCAGTAGTGGAGAGCTTGCTCTCCTAGTACCTGTGAGGCCCTGGATTCAATCCTCAACACCACATATGAATAAATAAAATAAAGGTAGTGCATCCCACTACAATGAAAAAATAAATATTAAAAAAAGGAGACAGCTCTCTGACCTGAGAGCCTGAAATGGGTGTGCTAAACAAGGAGATCCCCAGGGAGCCCATCCTTCTCTGACAGCTGCCCAGCCCAGCTGCCACCAGGCACTTCCGGTTGGGGGAAATCGGTTGAGGAAAATTGCACAGAATGGTGATTTAAAACGTTTTTAAAAGGAAAGAAGCTTTTACAAGTCTAAGTCCCCTCTCTCTACTGTAATCCCCAGAGATGTCCTATTCTGATAAATCCAGCAAGAACCATTCCTGCAAATCATTTAAGATTCAAAGGCAAACTGTAGCACCTGAGGTGTTGCTGTTAGGAAGGAGCTCTCCTAGGGATGTCCTGTCTCCTCAGTTAGATGGAAATTTGGGGATGGAAGGAAAGAGCACGTTGAATAATTTACTGTATAAAACACAGAATCAAACACAGTGCAGAGCGTGTAACAGACTCTTGATAGGTTCATGAGGAAGTAATTAATTATCATTGAGAGTAAAATTAAAACAGAAAATATTTAAAGATGAGAACATTAAATATATCATTATAAATATGTACAACACTCATCCAAAAAGAAGCTACATATTGTATTTGTGTATTTGTGTATGTATGCATGTATGTATATATATGTATACAAATTATATACAAATTACATGTATAGGTGTGTGTGTGTGTGTATTCCAAAACTGTCCTAGGTCTACAATGTACCAATTAAAAAATTTGGGAAAAAAAACTCCTAGAAGCAGAATATAGAAGAGGTTTGGGGGAATGAGATAAAATTAAAATTAATGTTTAAAACGGGTATGAAGTGATGAGCAAAACCCAAAGCACATTCCTGAACTCCAAACCTGAAAGCCCTTTAAAAAAATAAAGCCATAGAAAACAAGCAGAAAATAGAGGACAAGAATTAAATAACTAAATAAGCATCAATATTAAGATATGAGAGAAGAGGAGCAGCATCCTGCTGAGAGGCTGAGCCGCCCCCTCCCCCTGCGCCGGCAAAGTAGAGGGAACTGTGACCACGCACAGAGCAGGCCCAGCGGCCTGCTGAGGGGCAGAGCTGCCCCCCACCCCCTGCGCCTGCCAGGTAGGTGGAACTGTGACCACGGACAGAAAAGGCCCAGGGGCCCGCGGCGGGACAGAGCTTCCAATCACTCCTGCAAGGTAGGCGGGCCTGCGACCCACCGGCAGAAGAGGAGCAGCGGCCTGCTGAGAGGCTGAGCCGCCCCCTCCCCCTGCACCGGCAAAGTAGAGGGAACTGTGACCACGCACAGAGCAGGCCCAGCGGCCTGCTGAGGGGCAGAGCCGCCCCCCACCCCCCGCGCCTCCCAGGTAGGTGGAACGGTGACCACCGACAGAAAAGGCCCAGTGGCCCGCGGCGGGACAGAGCTTCCAATCACTCCTGCAAGGTAGGCGGGCCTGCGACCCACCGGCAGAAGAGGAGCAGCGGCCTGCTGAGAGGCTGAGCCACCCCCTCCCCCTGCACCAGCAAGGTAGAGGGAACTGTGACCACGCACAGAGCAGGCCCAGCGGGCTGCTGAGGGGCAGAGCCGCCCTCTCCCCCTGCACCGGCAAGGTAGAGGGAACTGTGACCACGCACAGAGCAGGCCCAGCGGGCTGCTGAGGGGCAGAGCCGCCCTCTCCCCCTGCACCGGCAAGGTAGACGGAACTGTGACCACCATCAGAACAGGCCAGACCTGCAACCGAGAGACAGAACAGGACCAGTGGCCTGAGGAAGGGTAGAGCCGCCCCCCCCCCCCCGCGCCTGCAAGGTAGGCGCACCTGCGACCCACTGGCAGTACAGCCCCAGAGGCCTGCAGAGGGGCAGTGCCGCTGCCTGCGCCTGCAAAGTAGACAGAACTGTGACCACCGACAGAACAAGCCTAGCGGCCCGCAGAGGGACAGAGCCGCCGCCCGCGCCTGCGAGGGAGACTTTGCAACTATACAAGACCAATATAAATATATAGGGGGAAAATTCAATAGCACAACAGTTTCACCAAGTAGAAAGGAACGCAAACAGTATGAAGAGACAAGGAAAGAAAGGACCACAAGCATTGCAGGTCAACTCAACTTTAGAAGAGGTAATAGCTGCAGCAGATGGAATGTCAGATAAAGAATTCAGGATATACATGCTTCAGATGATCTGGAGTCTCAAGGAAGACATCAGACAGCAAAATCAGACAATGAAAGATCACTTCAACAATGAATTACATAAACAAATCCAAGAAGCAAAAGATCAACTATACAGGGAAATAGAGGTTATAAAAAACAAACAAACAGAAATCCTAGAAATGCAGGAAGCAATAAGCCAACTTAAAAACTCAATTGAGAATACTACCAGCAGAGTAGAACACTTAGAAGACAGAACATCAGACAATGAAGATAAAGTATTTCAACTTGAAAAGAACATAGACAGCTCAGCAAGACTGTTAAGAAACCATGAGCAGAACATCCAAGAAATATGGGATAACATCAAGAGACCAAATTTAAGAGTCATTGGGATACAGGAAGGGACAGAGTTTCAAACCAAAGGAATGAGCAATCTATTCAATGAAATAATACGAGAAAACTTCCCAGACTTGAAGAATGAGACAGAACCCCAAATCCTAGAAGCCTACAGGACGCCGAATGTGCAAAATCATAAGAGACCCACACCTAGACACATTATAATGAAGATGCCCAACATACAGAATAAGGAGAGAATTTTAAAAGCTACAAGAGAAAGGAAGCAGATCACATTTAGGGGTAAGCCAATCAGGATAACAGCTGATCTTTCAACACAGACTCTGAAAGCTAGAAGATCCTGGAATAACATATTTCAAACACTGAAAGAAAATGGGTTCCAACCAAGAATTGTGTTTCCAGCGAAATTAAGCTTCAGGATGGAAGATGAAATTAAAACCTTCCACGATAAACAAAAGTTAAAAGAATTTGCAGCTAGAAAACCATCTCTTCAAAACATCCTTGGCAAAACATTACAGGAAGAGGAAATGGAAAATAACAATGAAAACCAACAGTGGGAGGTAGGACACTAAAGGGGGGAAAATAATCAAAGAGGAAAACAAACCATGTTTAGTAACATAAATAAACAAATATGGCTGGAAGAACAACCCATATCTCAATAATAACCCTAAATGTTAATGGCTTAAACTCACCAATTAAGAGACACAGGCTAGTAGAATGGATCACAAAACAAGACCCAACAATATGCTGCCTACAGGAGACGCATTTGATAGGAAAAGACATACATAGGCTGAAGGTGAAAGGTTGGGAAAAATCATATCACTCATATGGACTTCGGAAACAAGCAGGAGTATCCATACTCATATCAAATAAAATAGATTTCAAGCCAAAGTTAATCAAAAGGGATAAAGAGGGACACTACATACTGCTTAAGGGAACCATACACCAACAAGACATAACAATCATAAATATATATGCCCCAAACAATGGTGCAGCTATGTTCATCAAACAAACTCTTCTCAAGTTCAAGAGTCTAATAGACCACCATACAATAATCATGGGAGACTTCAACACACCTCTATCACCACTGGACAGATCTTCCAAACAAAAGTTGAATAAGGAAACTATAGAACTCAATAACACTATTAATAACCTAGACTTAATTGACATATATAGAATATACCACCCAACATCAAGCAGTTACACTTTTTTCTCAGCAGCACATGGATCCTTCTCAAAAATAGATCATATATTATGTCACAGGGCAACTCTTAGACAATATAAAGGAGTAGAGATAATACCATGCATCCTATCTGATCATAATGGAATAGAACTGAAAATCAATGATAAAAGAAGGAAGGGAAAAGAATACATCACTTGGAGAATGAACAATAGGTTACTGAACGATCAATGGGTTATAGAAGACATCAAGGAAGGAATTAAAAAATTCTTAGAGATTAATGAAAACACAGACACAACATATCGGAATCTATGGGACACATTGAAAGCAGTTCTAAGAGGAAAATTCATTGCTTGGAGTTCATTCCTTAAAAAAAGAAAAAACCAACAAATAAATGATCTCATACTTCATCTCAAAATCCTAGAAAAAGAAGAGCAAAACAACAGCAAAAGAAGTAGAAGGCAAGAAATAATTAAAATCAGAGCTGAAATTAATGAAATCGAAACAAAAGAAACAATTGAAAAAATTGACAAAACTAAAAGTTGGTTCTTTGAAAAAATAAACAAAATCGACAGACCCTTAGCCATGCTAGCGAAGAGAAGAAGAGAGAGAACTCAAATTACTAACATAC